AGGAACCCGGCTCGCAGGCCGGCTTATATGCTCAGTAAACCCACTCCCAAGGACACACCCTCACTCAGTGATAGGCTATATACAGTGGCTGAGAGTTCCATAGGTCCTGACCAGGAACCTAGCCCTCTGGTTGGTGTGGGCTAGAATCTGCTTGGGCCATTGTCTCCTGGAGCGAAACTCGGAGGCTTCACATGACCACATGGAGCACTCGCCTCCACGCAGTCGGGTTAGATAAATTACAGTGGGATACCTCAACAGCATGCTGCTAACCTTATTAGAAGCCCATGGATCCTCTAGTTTTTATACTGAACCCATCCCTTGCAAATCCACCATCAAATCACAGATCAGCTCCATGTCTGCATACTGCATCTCAAGTCACAGATCCAGTGCTTCATAGTGTAGTGTGAAAACATAGATCCAAAACCCACTGTCAATTCAATGCACATCCAGCATTTCACAGCAGCATTTAAAAAAGAAACATGGTTCCAAGAAATGGATGCTTATGGTACCTCATGGTTTTTATGTGGACACTACAACTCTGATGCAAAATAATACATCTCATCAATATCCATGATCTAAACAACAGAAAACACTTTGGGGCCTTCAATATTTTGTACTGATTAGGAGCAACATTGTCTCCACCCACTGACTCCCTGCTGTGTGAGCCAAGACACAGGCAAGAAACAGAGTTCATTAGTACCCAGAATGGCCAGCATGCTCTGTCCGAGTCATTGCCATATAAATCTCTGCTCACACCAGTACACAAGCCAAGTAGTAGTGTGTGCTTTGATGGTAGACTTTGGAGAGTCCATGTAAAAACCATGAGAATCCAGAAGGATCCATGCTTTGAATCTATGTTTTGTAGTATGGGAGCACCACAAAGCAGTAAATATGTATTTTCTGTGGTTCAGTCTGTGGACATGACTGTGATATGTAAAAACCATGTGAATGCATGAGTTTCATAGCCCAAGATCTATGTCTTTGCACCATGGTATTGCAGTGGATCCAGGATTTTGTTGTTCAGTCTATAGATGCTGTGCTCTTGGCCAGGTGAATTCACCATAATTTAAGGTAGCAAATGTGGTGACCCAATCTTGGTATTAGCTCATTATTTTCTAAGTGAACCAGTTTAGTGCTGCATTGTCAGTCCTGAAGGTCTGTAATGAAAGTGACTAGACTTGGATGACTGTCCCTGGGATTGGAATGAGCACTTTTCCAAGGCTGTTTCGGCCTCCTGGACCACCCCTAAAATAGTCTGCTCATATGCAAGTCCCCTTTTATTCAGTGAACTTACTCCCAAGAAGCAGGATTCTATCCTGATTGTGCTTTCAGAGGCCATATTAGAGTCACTCCCATGGTTTCCTTGGGAATTTTTCTCATGTGTGCCTAGATCTTAAGCATGCAGCTTTTATTAGCAAAGTCTGTTAGTATTATGTGTAGGAAAAAAATATAAAATGGAGAGAGATGGCTAAGTCATATTACCCAACAGTTGGAGGGTTGTGTTCTGCTGCCTTCTTCCAGCCAAGGAAGATGATGTTGTGGCGGAGGGGGGGTGATCTTTCCAGGGGTGTTTTGGCCTAGCAGTCAATTTTTAAGCAGGTCTACTCAGATGAACCACTCAGCCTCATTCTACCTGCAGAGACTTTATTAAAAGCCATTCCCTTGTTCTGGTATAATTGGTAACTGTAAACTCCAAACTGAGCTCCTTTGCAAAGCAGCTAAGTGGTGATCAGTAAGAACCTTGCTGGCCTGCTATACTGAGAATTCATTCATAAGAACAAAAAAGTAGAATCTATTTTAAAACTAATTCATATTGGAAGATTGGTTTAAACATGGTTGCAGAGATAACATTTAATTAAATAATTAAATATAATTAAATAATTATATTTGTGCAGTAACAGACCACCTCACAAGTCTCTTGAGAAACCTGTATAAGGGCCAAGAAGCGACAGTTAGAACCAGATATGGAACAACTGATTGGTTCAGCATAGGAAAAGGCGTACGACAAGGATGTATATTGTCACCTTGCTTATTTAATATATATGCAGAGTACATCATGCAAAATGCTGGCCTGGATGAATCACAAGTGGGAATTAAGATTGCTGGGGAAAAACCCGGCCCCATCACTCCTTGGCAAATAGAAGGGGAAGTCGTGGAAGTAGTGACAGACTTCACGTTCCTGGGATCCCAGATCACCGCAGACTGTGACTGCAGCCATGAAATTAAAAGACGCCTGCTCCTTGGGAGGAAAGTGATGGCGAACCTAAACAGCATGATAAAAAGTAGAGACATCACCCTGCCAACAAAAGTCCGCATGGTCAAAGCAATGGTATTCCCAGTAGTCATGTATGGCTGCGAGAGTTGGACCATAAGGAAGGCCGAGCGCCGAAGAATAGATTCTTTTGAACTATGGTGCTGGAGAAGACTCTTGAGAGTCCCTTGGACTGCAAAAAGATCAAATCAGTCAATCCTAAAAGAAATCAACCCTGACTGTTCCCTGGAAGGCCAGATAATGAAACTGAAGCTCAAATACTTTGGCCACCAAATGAGAAGGGAGCACTCACTGGAGAAGACCCTGATGCTGGGAAAGATTGAAGGTCAAAGAAGATGGGGACGGCAAAGGATGAGATGGTTAGACAGTGTCATCGATGCAACGAACATGAAATTGAGCTAACTTCAGAGGATGGCGGAAGACAGGAGGGCCTGGTGGGAGATGATCCATGGGGTCGCGAAGAGTCGGACTCGACTGTGCGACTGAACAACAACAACAAAAGTTAACAGCATTAGGATGCAAGAGACGACATGGTGGGATTCGAAAATGTTGTCAAGCAACAGCTGATTTATGGCAACTCCATAGAGTTTTCAAGGCAAGGGACTTTAAGAAGTGGTTTGCCATTGCCTGCCTCTGGTTAGCAACTCTGGATTTCCTTGATGGTTTCCCATCCAAATACTAACCACAGGGTTGACCCTGCTTAAGCTTCCATGATCTGATGAGATCAGGCTAGCCTGGAACATGCAGGTCAGAGCAAGAGATGACATGCATGCCTGAAAACTGTGTGTAAGTGGTGCTGTGCAGCCACCTCCCCTTCAGCAAACTCCAGTGAATGGCTGACCAATCATTCAATCCAATCTTTGACCAATCAGTCACATATTTGCACCTGGTGATTACAAAGTAATCCAACCCCACACAGGAGTACAAGCATTACTAGTTCAGTCTATGGATATTGATGAGATGTGTGATTTCACAGTGGATTTTGGTGGGGTCCATATAAAAATCATGAGACTCCATGAGCCCAGGATTCATATTTTTAATGCCACAGTGAAGGACTCACAGGAGACAGGATCTCTTGAGGGTAGAGGAATCTGTCTGCCGCTTAAATGCAGCAAGAGTTTATTTATACACATTCTGCTCCTCTAAAGGTGAGGTGAGGATGTTGGCTTGCACATACAGACACGGGGAAAAACAGATACTTAGACAGAATGCCTAAAATGCTTCCACAGTATCTTAAGACTTGTTTGCAGTTTCAGGATGTGCAAAGGTCAGGACTCTTAGTGTACCAAAGTCACTGATCAACCCTATCTTTACAGAGTCTGGATGTGGCTCAGAACCAGAACTGGCATGCCATATCGCTGATCCTTACCCACACCACAGGTCACCACAAAGTGCTGGTTCAACATTTTCAGTGGTACTGTTTGCAGACATGACTTTGGTGTGTGATTTGATGGTGAATTTGAGAGGACTCCACGTAAAAATCAAAGGGGGCCCCTTCCTCCCTTTTTCACCAGTGGAAAAATTGGTTAAATCCAATCCATGATATGCATGGTGTGGTCTATATGGATATGCTTAGCAGCAACACAGTGACTAAAGGGAGCCTCCATATCCAGAGGCAGGAGCCCTCTGAAAACCAGTGCTGTGAGGCAGCCTCAGCCGATACCCCAGGGCAATTGATTGGCCACTGTATGAAACAGGAAGCTGGACAAGATGGACCACTGGTCTGCTCCAGCAGGCTCTTGTTATGTTTTATGAGCTGCAGTGATGGTGGTTTAAGATTGTTTCTGTGTATGTTTCAGTCATGTGTATTCAATACAATCCATTTAAAATAATCAAGATCCGGCTTTTACGCACTTGGCTTTTAAAACAAAGATGAAAGGGTGCTTCTGAAGAACTGTAGTAAAAGGAAAGAAAGCACACAGAAAGCAAAGGCAGCCCAAGCCTTGCCAAGTGCTATCTGTACTTTCATCAGAAGCCAACTGAAGGACGAGGCTAAGCAAGCATTTCCCTGACTTTAATATGAAGGGAAAGAAAAGATGTGGGGGGGGGGAGGCATTATGGGAGGGAGTGGGGGAAAGTTTGCTGCTAGAAACTTAAAGCTGCATATAGAGAGCCAGTTTGGTGTAGTGGGTAACTGTGCGGACTCTAATCTGGGAGAACTGGGTTTGATTCCCCATTCCTCCACTTGCACCTTGCTGGATGACCTTGGGCAAGCCTTAGTTCTAATCAGAGCTGTTCTTGAAAAAAGAGCAGTTTCTGTCAAGAGCTCTCTCAGCCCCACCTACCTCACAGGGTGTCTGTTGTGGGGAGGGGGAGGGGAAAGGAGTTTGTAAGCTGCTCTGAGACACCTTTGGGTAGTGAAGGGAAGTAAATCCAATCTTCTTCTTTACAAGAAAGAGAGGGACCAAGTGTCTTTTAAAGGGGGGGGGGGGAAACTTTTTCATCAAGCAAACTTATTCAAACGATCCGAGTGACTTAATGAAACTTCGAAGTACACAGGCGTGAAGGGAATGGGTTTGGGCAAACTCTCGTTAAAATGACGACCCCCCCCCCCCCCGCCCGCCCGCCCGCCGTATGACTTCACTGTCCTTTGATTTGGAAGGCAGCTGATTGGCTGGGAGCGATTCAACACATGCAGCCGGGCAAAAGCTTTGTCTGAGTTGCACTGAAGTTGCACGGATTTTTAGAGGGGAGTCTGCTATGCAGGCGGCTTAGTCGGCGGCAGAGCAGGGAGAAGGCAAGAGGCGCCTCTTCGGAGCGAGAGCCCGCCCTGGCCGCTCCGCTCCGCTCCCTGCCTCGGCGCTCGGTGGAGGCAGAGTCGCTGCGGCGGGAGGGACCCCTGATGTTACAAATCCGCCGGCGGAGACAGAAGAGGCGCCGCCAACTCCAGGAGAGGGAGGGAGCCCGGCTTGCGGGAAGGATGCCGACGGGAGTCTTGCAGCCATCTGCATGTATGTAAGCAACTTTTGCTGAGCGGGGAGGGAATTGAAACTTTGCTCTGCCGCAGGAGGGGATCTTCCGGCCGAAAGACCCAAATGAGCCCCGGACTGGAGGGACCCGCAGAAGTCGGCAGCGCGGCTTGGTAACTTACCGGGGGTGGGAGGAGGACGGGCGCGCGGGGCTGCCCAGAGGCAGGGGCCGCCGAGGACGATGCACGCCCGAGTCCTTTTTGCCCTGGCGACCCTGGCTTGCCTGGAAGGCGCGGCGGGCAAGACGCTGAGGTACAGGATTTACGAGGAGCAGAGGGTGGGCTCGGTCATCGCGAGGCTCTCGGAAGATGTCGCCGACGTGTTGTACCGCATGCCGAACCCTTCCTCGGTTCGCTTTCGAGCCATGCAGAGGGGCAGCGCGCCCTTGCTGACGGTCCGCGAGGATAACGGGGAGGTCAGCATCGGAGCCAAAATCGACCGGGAGCAACTCTGCCAGAAGAACTTGAACTGTTCCATCGAGTTCGACGTGATCACGCTGCCCACCGAACATCTGCAGCTTTTCCACGTCGAAGTGGAAGTACTGGATATCAATGACAACGCTCCGCAGTTCTCCAGGGCTCTGATCCCGATCGAAATCTCCGAGAGCGCAGCTGTGGGGACCCGCATTCCTTTGGATAGTGCCTTTGATCCAGATGTGGGCGAGAATTCCCTGTACACGTACTCCCTGTCTGCCAACGATTTCTTTACTATTGAAGTTCGAACCAGGACTGATGGTGCCAAATACCCAGAGCTCGTTGTGGTGAGCGAGTTGGACCGGGAACTGAAATCCAGCTACGAGCTCCAGCTCACGGCTTCCGACAATGGGGTGCCTCAACGAAGTGGATCTTCCATCCTGAAGATCAGCATTTCTGATTCCAATGATAATAGCCCCGTTTTTGAGCAGCAGACATACATTATTCAGCTTTTAGAAAATTCACGTGTTGGGACTTTGCTCATTGACCTCAATGCCACTGACCCGGATGAGGGTGCTAATGGTAAAGTTGTGTACTCCTTCAGCAGTCACGTGTCTTCCAAAATCATAGAGACTTTTAAAATGGATCCTGAACGGGGACAGCTGACCCTTTTGAAAGCAGTGGACTACGAAACCACCAAATCTTATGAAATCGATGCTCAGGCGCAGGACCTGGGTCCAAATTCCATCCCAGCTCACTGCAAAATCATCATTAAAGTTGTTGATGTGAATGACAACAAGCCAGAAATCAATTTAAATCTAATGTCTCCAGGGAAGGAAGAGATTGCTTACATTTCTGAAAAGGCTTCCATGGAGACATTTGTTGCTCTTGTCAGGGTGCAAGACAAAGACTCTGGTGTGAATGGAGAGGTGGTTTGCAAACTTCACGGCCATGGCCATTTCAAACTTCAGAAGACCTACGAGAACAACTATTTCATCTTGACAAATACCACTCTGGACAGAGAAAAGCGATCGGAATACAGCTTGACTGTTATAGCAGAAGACAGAGGAACACCAAGTCTCTCTACAGTGAAACATTTTACTGTCCAAATTGTAGATGAAAATGACAACCCACCTCAGTTTCAGACAAATAGATATGAAATTGTTATTTTGGAAAATAACTCCCCAGGGGCATATATCACCTCTGTCACAGCAACTGATCCTGATCTTGGAGATAATGGACAGGTGACCTACACTATCTTGGAGAGCTTTATTTTGGGAAGCTCCATAACCACCTATGTGACTATTGATCCCTCCAATGGAGCCATCTATGCACTTAGAACCTTTGACCATGAAGAAGTCAACCAGATTGCCTTTGTGGTTCAAGCCAGAGATGGAGGGACACACCAGCTTGCCAGCAATACTACAGTGATGCTAACCATCATTGATGAAAATGACAATGCTCCTGTGATTGTGGGGCCAGTACTGCACAACAATACAGCAGAGATCTCAATCCCTAAAGAAGCTGAAAGTAACTATCATGTCACAAGGATAAGAGCCATAGACAGAGACTCAGGTATGAACTCTGAGCTAAGCTGCTCATTAGCAAGTACTAGTGAAGATAGCCTCTTCATAATGGACCCCCACACTTGTGACATCTATCTCAATGCGAGCGTTGAGTCTACTAAGTCAACAGAGTGGGAATTTTGGGTGGTTGTTCAAGACAAAGGAAGTCCTCAGCTCAGTACCAAAGCACTTCTAAAATGCAGTGTTTTTAAATATGTTTACCTGTCTTCATCTACAGAAGCCCCTCATATTAGCCACTCCCCGGATGTATCCATGATTACAATTATCTCCTTAGGAGCAATATGTGCAGTGCTGCTAGTCATCATGGTTGTCTTTGCTACAAGATGCAATCGTGAGAAAAAGGACACTAGATCCTATAACTGTCGTGTTGCAGAATCCACATACCAGCATCACCCCAAAAGGCCATCGAGACAGATTCATAAAGGGGACATTACACTCGTACCAACTGCTAATGGTACTTTACCAATTAGAGCTCACCACAAAGCTTCACCATCATCGTCTCCAACACTAGAAAGAGGACAAATGAGCAGCCGTCAAAGCCATCACAGCCACCAGTCTCTAAACAGTCTGGTGACCATCTCATCAAATCACGTGCCGGAGAATTTCTCTCTTGAGCTCACACATGCTACACCTGCTGTTGAGGTAAGATCACATGACGTGCCATATAAATACACTGTCATTCATGGGTGGACCTCCTACAGCCACTTCACATGTAAAGTGTTGCCCACACAGTATGCACTCGAAATCAGTGGGCCAACTGTTGTATGTACCTATATTTTCAGTGTGTTCTTCTATGTGCCAGAAGTCTGTGATTGGCAGCCACTTCGCAGTGCTTGTATACCTTGTGTACACACAGTGTTACACACCTGTGTCCCATGGGTTATACATTGTTTGCTATACAAAGTAATCTCTGTGAAGCAAATATGTGAAGTGGCCCTTAGGATACATTTTCTCTGCATGCATATATGAACCATGAAAGGAAGTCAGTTTCTTCATAGTCACAGTGCAATTTTACTTAAATGTTAAATAGCATGTTTATTAATGGTATTTTTTGTTGCTAGTCATGTACCTTTGCATCCTGCTTCATGTGGAACATTGTTCATCAATGTTCCCAAGATGCTTGAATCACATGTTCATCTCTCATTATGTAGACAAATTGAATATGTTCTTCTATATACAAGTAACCCAAAACAAGGGAGCAAATTAGAAATATTTTGGTGGAATCGTGGCTACAGATGCTGTAACAGCTTGTGTTACTGAACATGCAAATATGTTACTAAATGTGTTTTAGGGCCCTGAGCTCAAGTCCCTTAATGTAAGCTGATTTTTTAATTTCAGTGGAATTCAGTCTATTCCCATCCAAATACTTCAGCTTAACAAGACTGAGATCACACTTTAGGACTAATTATTTTAAACCCTGAGGCCAATAAACAGGGCTGGATGATATCAGTGAAGTCTTGTTAGGTGATTTCCATGATCTGCTGTTGCTATATCTTATTATAATATGGATAGGTTTCAGTTAATTTTTTTAAAGCATCTAATGGTGAGGGCGGGCTAGAAGAACTTAATAGATGTGAATTTTCTTTGGAGACATTTAGATCTTGTTTCCAGGAATCAGTGTTTTTGTGTTTTCCTTAGCAGGTCTCTCAGCTTCTCTCGATGCTTCACCAAGGCCAGTACCAGCCAAGGCCAAGTTTTCGAGGAAACAAATACTCCAGAAGCTACAGGTGAGGGTTTTAGTTTGATCAATGTTGAAGGTGGTCTCACCTGTGAGCACAAAGTACAGAAGCCAATAAAGGATAATGCAATCAACATGTCACTTCCGTTTTATCACAGGTATGCCCTTCAAGATATGGATAAGTTCAGCTTGAAAGACAGCGGTCGTGGTGACAGTGAAGCAGGAGACAGTGATTATGATTTGGGGAGAGATTCTCCAATTGACAGACTTCTTGGAGAAGGATTCAGTGACCTTTTCCTTACAGATGGGAGAATTCCTGCAGGTAAAAATGCAATGAAAGTTGAATAGTTGATTTACATTGCTCTCTGACTGTCACAATGAGGCAAATTCACATTAAGGAAAAAAAATGAACTCTTTACCTTTCATGCTTTTTCACTTTGACCTTTCCCTTCATAACAATCCCTACAGTTTTCCCCTCCCCCAAAGTGGCATGCTGCTGGTGCATTTGATAGCCTGGTATTAAAAACTTGACCAAAGCTGGATGACAGCTGTTGGTATTGCATGCATCCCCACAAGCTAGCTTTTGAAATCCTCTCTCAAACAGGCAAACAGCCACAGTAATTTTTGTACGTCTAAATTTATAATGGGAGTAGACAATTTGGTGTAATGCAGTAAAATACTTCAGTGGCAATCTGATATGTATCTCTGTGATCATAAATTAATGCACAGATTCCACACCTACAATACTTAAAGTACTTTGCACTGAATATGCATTCAGCAGTAAAGCCCGCATGGTGTTGAGTGTCTGAACCAGGTATCCACTGAATGAGAAACACCCACATTTAGGTCAAATGTGTTGTTAGTTATCACCAGTGCTCACTGAAGGAGGACAGGTTAGGAGGCCATCTTATTTCTTTTCTGGTGGACCTAGAACCATTCCATTTCTTTTTAATCAATGAAAACAATCCCAAGATAAAACAGGGCTACACTGGTATTGGTGAATATAAGGCCACATTCATTAGCAACGCCTTTTATAGTAACTCCATTATTGGAAGTGACTGATAACTCACTGTAATTATTTCAAAGTGTGCATACCCACCTCAATACTTTATGCAGCAGTTATATACCTAAAGATGGTGAATTGACCATTGGTAAATTTAATCTGGCCTTAAATTGTCCCACTTCCTTTTTACACACACTTTAGATATTGAACATCACAGTTAGAATAGTGATTAGACAGTGGGACTGCATCCATGATGCAATAGTAACATTGTATAACTGCTATGTTCCAGGCACTGTATGTTGTGAAGTATGCTATTTTGGAATGTGAGGTAGGACAGATATGAGATGAGCTCTTTGGTCGGGATGCAAAGAACTGTTAAGGTAATCTTGGTTCACGTACTGCATCCAAAATTCCTTGCAGCAAGGCATTGTAAAGGTCTGCCATGGCAAAAGAAAAAGGGTTTTTTGGCTCTGATCCATTGCACTGGCAGCAACATGTGAAGTAGACCCATACACTCAGAATGCTTGCTGATCATCTTACCTACATAAGATAGTTATGGTGGTTCATCATTTGATGTTTCAGCTGATAGTATTTATCATCAGCTCTTAAGAATGGATCAGTCTTAAAGATGTGCAGAATGCCAGCCCAGAAGTACAGGCATCTTGTATCTGGCAAGTAAAAAGGTAAAGGTAAAGGTTCCCTTGCTCGAAAGCCAGTCGAATCCGACTCTAGGGTTGCGGTGCTCATCTCCGTTTCAAAGCCGAAGAATCAGTCTTAAAGATGTGCAGAATGCCAGCCCAGAAGTACAGGCATCTTGTATCTGGCAAGTACAAGCATTTTAAAAGGTTGCTGCCAATTATTAACAAATTAGAACTGTGCTAGAGTATTTGACTTCCAAATATATGGAACATCTTTGGAATAATGTGAAAGGTGTTCTTATTCATGCCACAAACTATGCTGCAAACCTATGCCATTGTGCTGATTTGCACAATGTTCCAGTGTAACATGTAGAGGTTATGGCTATGGCTGGTACAACTATACCAAACCATGTTAGCACCATGGTAGTCATTTGCCCCACCATAGGCTCAGTCTACTGATTTAATTATTAAGTTCTTCCACTCACTCCCACAGCAGCATCTTATCAGGCAAGCTGTTTCCTAATGGCATAAAAACAGAAGGCTTAAAATAAGATAGAATTTCAAAAGAGTGGGGGAGAAACCAAGCCAGTGTCCTCTCCACTACCGGAACCAATCCTCCTGAAGTTCCATATTAAATTCAATAATTTAGATTGTACTCATAATATAAGCTTATACTCCTAAATAACTCTAGATATTGTCTTGAGGTTCTTTCTGCATAATATGTTCCAGTAACTCTGCGTCATCAAAACAGAATCATATTTCTTGCTTATACTGAAACAGTGTGCCATATATCTACATTTTTGTTTAGTTTCTTCGACACAAGGTGTGGCAAGGGGCATTTTCTGTGACTGACCAGTGTTTGTATCTATCTATGCAATTTTATCCCACCCTTCCTCTAAGGAGCTAGGGTATTCCTGGTGATTTTGGGGGTGGAGCCTAGGGAGGGTGGGGTTTGGGGAGAGAGCTCAGCGGGGCATTTAGGTATATGCCACAGAGCAGAGGTCATTTCGGGGGGGAACGTGGGGGATCGCAGTTCCCCCGGGTGAGGTACGGGGGACATGACGAAGCCCCGCCCCCTGCTTCCGGCCGCCCCGCTTCCGGCCCTCATTCAGCCAGGAGGAGGCAGGGGAAGAGGGAGGGTAAGTTGCTTCTCCCCTGCCTCTCCCCACCCCTGCCTGCCTGGGTCCAGGGAGGGCCTTTGCGGGGCTTCCTTGTACTCCCGCCGGCCTTGCAGGTCCACCGCCAGGCCCCTCATGGGGCTCGGCAGTGGAGCTGCAAGGCTGGCGGCGGCGGCCAGGACCGTTGGGGGCAGGGTGTGTGTCCTTATGACACACTTCCGGTGATGTCAGGGGGTGTGGCATATGCTAATGAGTTATGCTAATGAGTTCCCCTAGCTCTTTTTCTACGAAACGACCCCTGCCACAGAGTCCATCCTCCAAAGTAGTCATTTTCTTCTTTGTCCTCTGAAGATTGGCTGCATTTCCAGGATCTCCAGACATTACCTGGAGGTTTGCTATCCTACAAGGCACTTAGGCTGGCATGCACAGTTCTTGCCCCTACTCTATCCCATAATCAGCCTTGTGAGATAGGCCAGGCTGATGGAGAATTATTAGCCCATGGTCATTCAATGACCTTTATGAAAAGTGGGGATTTCAGTCCATGTCTCCTAGGTCCTAGCCTGACATTCTAATAACTACACTAGGCTTTATTTATTACATTTATGCTCTGCCTTCTTCCATTATTGCATTCAAGGTGGCTAACATAAGATTGCCAGGCAGTCAACAGATCAGCTGTGCTAGATTGGGTCAATAGCTGATCTAGTCCACCATCCTGTTTCCCACATTGAATAACCAGACGACCCCAGAAGGTTTGCAAGCAACTTTCCAACCTTCTCACTGATCTCGGATTGCCAAACTCTAGGAGGAGCCTGGAGATCTCCCAGAACTACATCTGATCTCCAGACTACAGAGATCAGTTCTCCTGGACAAAATGGCAGCTTTGGAGGGTGGACTCTGTGGCATTATACCCTGCTGAGGTCCCTCCCCTCCCCAACTCTACCTTCCCTGGGCAGCACCCTCGAATCTTCAGGAATTTCCCAATCTAGAGTTGACAACCATGTACTGATCAGGCCTATTCCTAATAAGCATGTGCCCCTTAACTATACCCTCAGCTGCACACTTTTTAAAATATTTTTACCCACCCTGAATATTTTGAAATCCCCTGAGCCAGCCCTTTAAGTGCTCTGCTGCTTTAATCATGCAGCCTTTTTGTAGCTCATCAATAAACCAACTATTTCTTGCCATATCCATTGTAGTAATAATTGGACCCTAGCTATGTCAGTGTCTGCAAAGGAAGAACAGAAGCAAGTACAAACCTGGGGGAGTATTAAATGCGAAGAATGCAATATGATGTATATGACTCAGATGGCAAATGAAATGAGCAGTAGTGCAGTCCCAATATAAAAATCAATGCTAACTTTTAGTTGGAATCTTTCTAGAAAATAAAATATTAAAACCCATCAGAATAATATAGGTCATCTTGTGTGGACTTGGCAACCAATAACAAGTCCATTTAATTTCTGATTTAATTATTAAATCAATAGACAAATCAGTTACAGTGAGATCCCCAACCCTCTGCAGATACTGTATGACGCTTATGTGTCTGCTTATGTGTCTGCATATAAATATTCAAATAGCAAGAATGCACTTATTTACTTCCTAAAAACACAAGAATTGCCTTCCTGGATCAGATGAAGATCCACCTAACCTCGGCATGCTGTCGCCAAAAGTGGTCAGGCAGATGCTGCTGGGAAATTAACAAAGAACATCATATGATCAGTGTTCCCTCTAAGCTGAGTTAGTGTGAGCTAGCTCACATTTTTTATCCTCCGGCACATACATTTTTGTCTTAGCTCAGGAAGAATGGCTCCAGAGCAAACTAATTTATGGAGTAGCCAAATTGCTTGCTTACAATTTTAATGCCAGTAGCTCACAACGTAAAAAATTTTCTCACAAGACTCCACAGCTTAGAGAGAGCATTGGCTGTGATTCACCATCCCTTACCTGTTTGTCTCTCACCTAGTAAATCTGCCTTGGAACTTCTGAACCTCTGAACGTTGCTTCAAGCTATAGGGAATGACAGACCCATCTTACACAAATATGTTTAATGTCTTTAGCATTATCTGTGCTAACTACCATTGTGGTATTGCAGGGAAATGCATTGCATAAGCTTCTCGCAAGAAGAATTACTTCCATTTGTTAGGCCTCATTCTACTGGCAGTCAACATTAGTGATGTGAATGGGAAACCCTGCATGTATATGAGCCACATGAGCACATTATTACGACTATAAAGCTCTAGACTGGGCTGAGAAATGTTGCACCTATCCAGCCATCATTATAAAGCCACTTAAAATAGCGAGGAACCTATGTCAGTTTGTGAAATTCAGTGCCAATTGGAAATGGTGGGACATCCTGCTTCATGTAGGAGGCAGTTACTGGCTTATATCCAGTGAAAACTCCTTGTGGAGTGGAACTTGCACAGTGGGAATTTCCAGTTTCCCCCTGAAATGCCATTGCTAGAGATCATGGTGCAGGTGGGGGGGGGGGTCAAAGTAGAGGCCTACAGTGCAAGGAGCAACTAGCAGAATCTGCCATCCCCTCTTACTTCTTAGGAAGGGTTGCATACAAGCTGATGTCACAATTCCCTCCTCCTCACCCTCAAATAGCTTTGCCAAAGCTCCTTATTATACCTTATATGATCTGCTAAAATAATAATTTCAGGTTTTAGAGTGATCAGACCCTACAATATTTGTGTTTATGACTTAGATTTATGTACTGTTTAACTGCAAAAAGTTCTCAAGAAGTTCAGAACAAAACCTGGGGTGAGGAGAAACTCTGCCCAACTATCAGATTATCAAATTAAAACAATTTCAAACATCAACTAAATATTTAATAAGCCCAAGAAAACAGCAACTCTCAAGGGACAGTGAGGGGAAAATGTTGGGGGAAATGAGGGAGGGGGGAAACAGTATCACACTGTTGCCATGATGTTACTTCTGGCATGACCTGGAAGTGACACCATCATGTTGGGTGGTGCTCTAGCATTGTGCTAGAGTGCTAGAATGTCATCCCTGTGTAATGATGCCACTTCTGGGTTGTGCTGGATGTCGTGTCACCTCATTGTTGGTAATGCTGTGACCTCCCCCCCCCCCCCCCCGTGGTAAGACAGACATAAAGCCTAAAGTATGGTGGAAGAGATTTGAACACATACACCGCATACCAAGGCAGCAAGTATAAGCTGAAACAATGTCCATCATCTGCCAGATAAGGTAGTATACCATACACAGGTCAAAAATAGTAAGCACAACAGAGGCATGTTTTTATTGCCGTTTGAATTAGGGAATCACTGGACATTAACCTCTTACTT